GTGCCTGTAGCAAATGTGGATAGAGCCTTCCCAAATCTTCGTTCGCGAAGCCTCGCCATGATGACATGACCTGTACATTCAAACACAGCTTTGCAAACACTACCAGCCAAAACGCCTCAAGCCAGAGCCAGCTGCCTTCCTTGTATGGTGAACAATGTTTAACTGTAAGTGTAAAAATACTTCTTTATTTTTAGATGCAGGTTTTGAGGATTATAGGGAAAAAAGTTGCCTGGGACAACTCATCAATTTTATCTGCTTTGAGAAAGAAATCACTATTGTAGCAGCAAATCCATGCCTCCATGCTTGTTCTCAACCACATAGCCACTTTTGATGTCTGCCAGCACTGAAACCAAATTTCAATATTTTAACGGAAAGACCACTCCAACGCTTTTCTTCCTAACAGCATCTATTATTTTTTAATTTCTGAACTCTTCCTACTTAATTAAAAAAAAGATGCTTTTCACCTATTACCTCAAATCAACTGACAACAAAATTAAAGGTTTCTGTAATTTCAAAACCTAAGCAGAAGGAACCAAAACTCTACCAGATGAAAAAAATGAAACAGGATCCAAAGAGAATAAATACACACATTGGGCAAGTGCAGTAGTTGCTGACTTACTATTTGTTTACTCTCCTCTTTACAATTTATTTCTCGAATTCTGTCCAAAATGGCCTTCTCAGACGGTTCAACTATTGCAGATCCACTGCTGAGCAGGGTGGCAATTTGTTCTTTAAAAGCCTCTAAAGAGCTCCAAGCAGTCCTGGCTTCTGCTCTGCTGCTCTTCAAGCTTCCATCTAACTCGGCAGAAGATTTCTTCAGACTGTCCAGTTCCCTCTTTGAGGTGTCCAAGGCTTTCTGGTTAACAGTCAGTTTATCTTGGAGGTTTCTGATCTCCATCTCTAAACTCTGTCTCTCTTTTGTAGCGCTGTCAAGATCCTATAATGTGTGAAAAATTAAACAGGATTTTTTAAATCAGTTATAACCCCTCCCCACCATACACATATGAAGGAATAAATCAGATGCAGGTACTGCAGATAGAGAAACTAGGACCCATAATGCTCATATGGATTCAACATCAGGGTTTCATAGGAGAACTGCTATTGAAACTGATAAAAGGCCAAAGTCTGCAGTAATCACTCTATAGATTAACCTCTGGCAGTGGCCTGCAGGAAGGAATACATGCATAAAATTCGCAGGTTTAAAAAAAACCATTTTTTAATTGTAAAACTATTGATATCTTATTTTTCCATTCAGATAATATGACCTGAAAAACAGTGAACACGATGTAACACTAATAAAGCCAAGGTACTCCAGCTCAGGATGGGATGGGATGGGATAGGATAGCATATTTCAGTTGGAAGGGACCTGCAGTGGTGATCAACTCCAGCTGCCTGAGCAATTCAGAGTTGACCAAAACAATAGACACAATCCCTCTGAAAATAGTGATAAGAGGTGATCTCTGAGATCAGTTTACTTAATGTGACAAAAATTCCTGAGATTATCTATACACAGAAATGGGAAGTGAAGGACCAAACAAAGGCTTGGTTGGGAAACAATGAAATATAGCCAGTACATACATATCTATATCAGTTATATATAAAATACTGACCTAACAGGGCAAAGCAGACAGACAGAATTGTGTATCCTGACCCAGGATGCCAAAACAAATGAGAGAAAAATTAAAGAAAAATAACCATCTAAACATAAAGAGAAAATAATCTCAGTCACCTTGTGAATCTCTTTCCCCACAATACCAATTATTAAGAGTGCCTACATATTCATATACAAGAAAAATATTTGCAGTGAAACCAACTAAAAGTATAACAAAGACTAAGTCTTCATTTCTCAAGGCATTATCTGATTGAAAAGAACAAATGGGAAAGAATATTACTTCACACATGACACAAAAGGAAAGAATATTACTTCACCCAAGACACAAAATTATGACAGAGGACAGCATATTTACAGAGAGTGATTGAATTCCTCTGGAAGTCTCAGTGGTTAGTAGAGGCTCATTAAGTGGACTGATATGAGTTAAGACTGTGTACACTGGAATTAAAGAATTGTTTCTGGAGCAGTAATGAATATGGTGAGTAGTCAAGGGTCTCTCAGGGTCTATGTGTGCTTGCTGTAGTCATTTGTATCAATAGAATATGTGCCAATCAAGGAGCAGATCTGGGAGCATTTACATAGATCAGCAGGGAGGATGGACAAAAGAGGAGTTTGCAGAGCACCCTTAGAAAATATAAACATACGATTCTAAAAATAATTAAATTTTTAATAGCTTCAAAATGGGAAACATGCAAAAACACAAAAAAAACCAAACCCTGTCATTTAGGACATTATTTGTTACTATAGTAATTGTACTAAATACTAAAGTAATTATAGAACTGTTTTAGAAACATGTTGGCATGATTCCTTGCCATTTTCTCTTTTTTATTCTAAACAAGTCCTATTAATAGGAAATTCCCACCTGTGCCCAGAATTACATTATGGTAATTATAGCAAAGAATAAAGAGTAATTTATTTCAATTACAGTTTTCAGCAGTGTGTATTTTTCCTTCCAGAAAGGCAGTGCTAAATTAGTTTGCCAGTACCAGGGATCTTATCTAATTACAATCTTGTTTAAATTGTGAGCATCTAAAAACAAACACAGTCAAATCAAAAGATCAAGGTATAAAATAAGGAAGTGCAAGCCACCAAACACTGGCTGGAAAGCTGCCCAGCAGAAAAGGACCTGGGTGTGCTCACTGAACATGAGCCTGCAGGTGCCCAGGTGGCCAGTGGCATTCTGGCCTGTATCAGAAATAGTGTGGCCAGCAAGACTACAGAAGTGATTCTCCCCCTGTACTCAGCACTGGTGAGGCCACACTTCGAATCCTGTGTCCAGTTCTGGGCCCCTCACTGCAAGAAAGACATTGAGGTGCTGGAGCATGTCCAGAGAAGGGCAATGGAGCTGGTGAAGGGTCTGGAGCACAAGTATTGTGAGGAGAATCTGAGGGAGCTGGGGTTGCTTAGACTGGAGAAAAGGAGGCTCAAGGGAGACCTTATCGCTCCCTACAACTGCCTAAAGAGGTTGTAGCCAGATAGGGTTTGGCCTCTTCTTCCAACTAACAAGCAATAGGACAAGAGGAAATGGCAGCCCCATAGTGCATCAGGAGAGGTTTAGATTGGATATTAGGAAAAATTTCTTTACTAAAAGGGTTTTCAAGCACTGGAACAGGCTGCCCAGGGAAGAGGTGGAGTCCCCATCCCTGGAGGTATTTGAAAGACCTGTGGATGTGGCACTGAGGGACATGGTTAATGGTGAACTTGGCAGTGCTGGGTTAACAGTTGGACTCAATAATCTTAAAGGTCTTTTCCAACCTAAATAATTCTATGATTCTATAAATACCAGCACCTCAATCAGCATCAGGGTTTCAATACAGTAAGTCAACTACACATACATATAAAGAACCCACATTACATTAACAGTAATAAGAAGGCACAAAAGAGAATGCAGGTATTTTCTAGATGAATTCTTACACCACCTGCATCTCATTACCACTGTTATACCATAAGGATTGTAAACTAGCTTGCTCTCATCTTCTCTGATGATTCAACCTGAAAATATCTGTGATGCCTGCTGAAACCTGTCTCAAATATGTATTTTCTTAATGACATCATATAAACAAAACAAAAAAAATTGAGTTCTGAGAAACTCATTCTTTTATTTGTCTGTTGGGACAAGAAAAACCTAACATCATGTGCTTGTCTCTCCTGCAATCTAAGTATTTGGGTATATTTAAAATGGCTATTTTAGGCAGCTATGTTTCTCAAGTTTAATCAATTTCCTTAAATAATATTTTTATATTTTAATTAACTGGTTTTATACAGTCAATTTATTTTAATAAATGCATATTGATTAGAAACTACTTAGGTAAATTTTATTCACTAACATAACGATACAAGACAATACTGAATACTGAAGAGTATTTTCTTGGTTAACTTTTGCATCAGAATATTTGTATTCATTAAAATTGCTTGATTATATTTCAAGTATGTTCTTTAAAGATTTTGCATGGCGCACATCTTTACAAAACACATGTTTAAAACAGCACTTCAGAGTGAAATCACAAGTATTTCCAGGTTGAATCATCAGCAAAGATGTGAAATAAAACAAGATAATCCACTAATTTTTGTGGTTCATCAATGGCAATGCTGTATGAAGGGCAAATTATAATCTGGAAGAATATATGCATCCTTTTCTATACCTTAGATAAATACCACAGAGGAGTTTATTAAATATTAGAAAGAAACTTTGTTAGAACTAATAAGACAGTGTTATAATTCTGTAATTATGATTAGCATAATCAATAACCGCTGTCTGGACACACAGAAAGAAAGAACAGGTATTCTCATTCTTGAAATCTAGGGAGCACTTAAAAGTCATTTTTCATCAAATGCAAATTTGATGAAAAATTTGCACAGCCACAATAATGGTATGCACAATATTTACAGATTTCTAGGAGCAAACTCTTGCAATAGTCTGTCAGAAATGTGAGAAGTTCGGAATTCTAAAAGAACAGTAATACATTACAACAAAAATAGCTTCTTGATTTCATTTTTTTTACTTACATATTTTACTTATATACAGTTTCAAGACTGTATTGGTTTTTACTCTTTGCTGCTTGCTATTGTCATACAGTGAGACAGAGGGGAACAGATAAAATTATTGTTCACTTCCTAATGTTCCTTGAATTAAACCCAAATAACTGCAACCCATACGTATCAAACATGTTAAGAACATTTTGAATGTATTAACCTTAAAACATAACCAACTGGATTTCATTTTCTTCATTAAGAATTTTGGAATATAGACAGCTTATCTCCTTCCAGGACATAAAGAAAAGCACCTGGTCAAGAGAAGGAGTTCACAGAAATCATAAGGAGCAGGAGTGGAAAACTACCTGGCAATTAAAACTGGCAATTATTCAGAGAGGTGGCAGGGAACAATGCAGTGTCTGACTCTTGCTAGAGATGACTGACAGAGCAGTGTGATGGTCTCTATATGCTTAGAAAACATTTTAAGAGAAAACTGGCAGAAATGGGCTGCCATCTCACTGAAGATGGCCAAAATGTCTGATCCTGAGAGCTTCGGGCACACACAGGCATACTTGTATTCAACCTCTGCTGGGTAAACTCAGCTACAGGCAATTCCATTAATTAAGTTCAGAAAACAGCCCAGAAACACACAGCCGAGCATGAGTCTTCTAGCACAGGAACAGTATGGATTTCTGCTTCTCGCCTTTACAGGGGAACATTTTACAACATGTGCAACTCTGTTCATGTCCTTAAACTGTGCAGCAAAGTATATGATAAGGTCCAACTGAGTTGATGCTGCTGGTGCCCTCCCTGTAACCTACTAAGACACTCATCCACGCAACAGGGGATCCCATACATCACACGTTACATGTGAGGACTTAAGTATTTTTGGTTTTTTTACTTACCTTTTCAATACTGAATTTCTTACTATGCTTTTGTGAACACAAAACCTTCAGACACAAACAGATTTACTCAGTGTCTGCTAACATAAGTAGCTAAACTGAAAAAGCACTGGAGGAATCTTCAGCCTCTAGATAAGCCCCGATGGCAAACACTTCATTTGAAAGGCAATGCTAATAATTTAGAAAGACATTTCTGTAAAATTAGTTAAATAAATTATGTATTTGGCATATGCACAATAATGATAGGAAAATATTTTTTGTAAAACTAGCTCAACTTAGTAAATGCTTTGGCAGTCAGAGCAAACTTGCAAAACAAGTCACAAAGGAAGCCCTAATCTTGGTTTAAAACATCTCCTGATTCTGGTTTACTTAGTAAGTAAACTACACTCTGTTCTTCCTCACACACCTGTGTTTGAAATGAAGTATGAGAACAAAATGTTCTCAAAAAGGACCTGTTTAAGTTTTTGTGCAGGTTCTCCCTCAGTTCCACTGAGTCTTAGAAAATTTAACACAGCTTGGTAAGAACTATTTTCAGCAGTAAGTAAAATTTATGACCCTTGTGGTACTTAACATTTATCTTCCCCACAACAAATTCTTTCTTCTCCAGAGTACACTGCCAGCTATTTCTCATCTCCTAAGTATTTTGCTTACAACCAAATCAGAACACTATATCCTTTAAAGTGTACGGTGGCGGTCTTTTGTTCAGACAAAAAAAGAATGCTGGGGGTGGGGAAAATGCTGTATTACATTTGAAAACTCACTTGCACAAGGTTGCCTTTATGCTTAAAATTTCTTCAAACTGGATTGCACACAACTCAGCTACATATCTGGCAGTCTAAATTTCATCCCTTATTTTCTTAAGTTCTGGCCATCAGCTTTAACCACACTGTTCCACCCGTGGGAAATTTTCATTATGGGCTGCTTCCTTTCCACAGTTACCACTCAAAGTACAAAGCAATGAGGAAAACTGCTACAGAAATATTCTTTGTTTGTCCATCATTTGAGATGTACAAACTCTTAATGGCAAGTTCTCCTGGAGCAATTAAATCTTTAAATCATGTACTTTTCCTTTCCAAATCATAGCTAGGTGAATGTGGTGAATACCTGACTTACAACTTAACTTACATTTCTCATCTGAGCATCCTTCCTGCTGCAGAGATTTCCTCTATGGCTCCCGAGAGTAAAACAGTGCTTTCCTGCAAGAGCCATCCGACTGCCTACAACTTTTTGGGTATGAGCCAACAGTTATGAAATACAAATTTATAATGCAGTGAAAAGATAATCTAGGGTGTCTGGAAGCCAAGACACTTTACCTTCCATTCCTTAAGAGAAAGAATAGTGTCTTATCAATTCCTTTCAATTTCTCATTAGAATTTTTGAAGAAACTGAGTAAAAGAAATCTCAGAAAACTTGCAATATCATATAAATGTTATTTAAAAGAGCATTTTTTCATGTTGCATGCTTGTGCCTCAGATGTACTCATTAACTCTATGCACATTTGTTTATTTACATGTTTGTGTAAGCACAACAAAGGCTACAACAATACCAAGAAAGCAAAAGTAGAAATTTGCAAACAGCATTGGAAGACATCAAATCTGCATCAAATCTATTTTACAAAATGTTTTTGTTTCATCTCTATATATTCTGAAACTTTAAAAAAGTTGAGAATAACCTCAGAAAAATGCCTTTTTTAGAAAAGACCCTAATTGACCTAAGTTTTTCAGAAGCATTTTTTCTCATACAATTCCTATTGAAAATTAATTTGAAATGTCAAGAAAACATTTGAAAACTAGACAAACATAAAAGTAATGCAATTATGTACCTTACTAAGTTTTTCCATGTCTTGATAGTATCCTGCCACCTTTTTTTGCTCCTTTGTCACTTCTGAAACTAGCCTCATGATAGTTTCTCTGCTAGCTTTAGACTCCATCTCATGGACATTCACAGCTTCTTGAAGAGCAGCAACCTGGTCTTTTAGTGTCAGATTTTCTTTACATATTTCAGAGACCTTGAGAAATAATTCAAGTATTAGTAGCTTCTTAAAAGCACTTAAAAATTATATATATTCATCCCCGTATACCTGCTCCTAATCATCCCAATAAAGAAATGGTATTCCTGGTGACCCCTATGTCAGATTTATAACTGCACTCTGCTACTCATTTATAAAAGAGTAAAAGACAATTAAAATCATAGAATCGTATTTTTAACCAAAAACCCCCACCTTAGTATAAAGTGGGTCATATTTACTCCAACACAAACTTTATGATCTATTAAGCAGGTGGAGAGCTACTGCTGCTGCATATCCGTGCTTGACATGAAGGTCAGAAAAAAGATCACGTAACTGCTTCATGTGAAAAGCAGACAATTTCAGCCTGGCTTTTTAAGATGTGTGCCTTTCATCTGGAACAAGAAAGCTGCAATTTATGCTCAAAACTTTTTAGGCAAAGGAGATTTGAGTTAGTAGCAGATATTTCATAAGTAATTCAAGGGCAGGGGCAAATACATGGTGTGCTGCCATTATGAGCTGCCAACACCTCGGAAAAAGGATTCCTTTCCAGGAGTATTCTAGGGCTGTTTTGGTACGTTATGCTGTTTCCAATAACTGGAATTAATGAATGTGGGCACTTCAAAGAGTGAGTAAAAAATGTACCCTGATTCCTACTGGCAAGACATTTGTTAAGACTAAAACAGATCAATTCTGTCTTAAATAAAACCATAACATGGAAAAGAAGCTAAACAGATGTGCTAAGACCCAAGAAAAATGAGTTGCTAAGGTTTCCTAATGCACAGAGTTTTCAGGACAATTAGATTTCCCAACTACATTTATTACTACATCGTTAAAATACATCAACATAGATTTTTTAAAGTTCCAATTACCAATTACATTAATTTATTAAAGTATGAAAGAGTGCCTCTTGCATGACATCTAGCTAAATTTTGTTAGAGCACCTATTACAATTTCAATGTGCTTGCAATATTATGTAATACTATGAGGGCAAGTACTTTAAGAAATCACTGTGATGCATACCTAGATAATCTTAATTTATTAAGACAGAACTCTTACAATAACGTGAACATAATGAAAGAGAATTTCCCCAAATACCTCATGTGCTCCAAAGAAAAATAGGGATATCAAAGGCTAGACAGAAGACAAGTAAAATGCATAAAATTAGACTAAAATGTCTTTCAACAGCATTGACAGAGGTTAAAAGAATATCCAAACAATTTTCCTTTCCTAAATGGAAGCTTAGTTTTTGGAACTTCAGAAGTATTCTGAAGAGAAATAGTAGTGGTGTATGATTAAGTCTCAGAAACACCACAAAGTTATTTACAGCATTTTATTACAGGGCACAGTTAGGGTTGCTTTAGAGTATGCCATTTCAGATGTTTCTATTTAATGGTATGTCAGCCCAAGATAAGTGTAAAGATCTAGTGCCATATGTTTACACATCACCTAGTGACTCCCAGTGTTAATGTTTTCAGGAAAGCTTTCAACCAAGTATCTAATCAGGGCTGTACTCGGGAACTCGGGTGATAAAATATTTATGCAGATAAGAGCAGACTGAGTTCACTGAGGTCTATGAGTGTTCAGCACCTTTGAAAATTAGCCCAACATGAAAAAAAAAGTCTGTCTTAAATGACAGCACTGTCTGCAAACTATTATAAAACACAAAGATCTCCATCTTCATCACTTGCTTTATTTCTATGACAATCAAATATTTTTCTGTTAAATCGCTATAGAGAAACCCCTGCCTTCACATAATCACCTTCGACATTAAATGTTCTTGTGGTTTCTCTTTTTCTCTGATGTCTGTGTCCAAGAATCCAGAAAGCTGTGTAAGGAGCTCTTCATACTTCCTGCTGATTTTAGAAGCTTGAGTCATGTTTTCTTCACTTTTATTCCAATATTTACTAGTCAGACAGAAAAAAAAAAATACACACACCAGGATGAATGTTCTCTGAAAAAGAATTCAAGGCAAAAGACATTATCCCAAGACTATTGCTAGCTTCTGCATACCAGCAAATGAATTTTAAAAGTTACATTTAATTTTCTATGGTCTGTTATTTAATACATATAACTTTTCTTGTTCCCTTGTGTAAACATTTATCTTTGCTTTTGATTGGCACTTCAAAGAATCTTCTATGATCCCAACCTCATTCTCAGCACAAGATTTCAATAAAACACAAGAATCAGGCGACATCACCAAGTAGTGCCCTCAAGACACTAGCAGTAGAAAGTGCAACCAAAAGCTTAGAAAAGGTAAGGGGGGGAAGAGAGTAATCAACTTTGAGTAAAAATATGCTGAAAGCACTTCACATCCCCCCTCTAAAGAAGCTGACAGTGCTGATCAACAAACTCCAAGGAAAGAGAAGCCTGTCTGGACTAACAGAAGTGCAGGACATCCCCTTGTGAAGGGAAATTTACCAACAGAAGCAGAGATGGGAGACACTACTTTGCTACACAGTCTTCTGCAGTGCAGCACTATCAATGAAATGGATGGATTAAAACAGAAAATATCTAGGGACTAACACAAAGGTTTGAAGAAAAAGCAGCTGTTTGCCATCGCTTTCATAACTTTGAACAGGTGCTTATCATGTGAATACATATTCCAGCCTTAACCGCAGGTATCAGTTTGTAAATGGCGGATAAGAACAACCAACCAACTAAACTAGCAGTCAGTTTAACTCATTAGTATAAATGTGGTTACATCACTTCCCTTGGCAGGGACAAGGACAAGTCCAGCAAACAAGAACCACCACAATCTGCATAGGTAGCTAACAGATAAAAATCTTGCTCATGATGCTGAAATACACATCACTTATGAAAAACTACAAGGAATGAGATTAACAAAAACAGCCAACCAAACAAAGCTCAAAATGACCATTAGTGTAATCCCAAAAACAACTCCAATACCTCTCAGATAACACAAGAGAGGTACTTAGTGGTAGAGTGGAAGACAAGCTATTACGCTTCCAGTTGAAAAACAAGGTACTTTCTAAAGCTAGTTCTTCACACTAGAAGAAACCAAGACATGAGATATAACCAAACAGCTATCTAAAGCAAATATTTTATTGAAACTCATTTGCTTATTAGAGTATAGCACTATTCTCAGCTTTCAAGGTGGGCATGGTAGTCATTTCTGGACTCATTCTTTTCCATTTCTGATTTGTGTTAGAATATGGTATAAGATTGACCACCAATCCCGCAACTGTTCTGTGGCTCTAAAAAAACGAGGCATCCACACACAGAACCATGTCAGCTTCTAAAAATAAAAAATCTGAAGTACAAAGCACGTACTTGATAACTCAACGAATAACCTAATTACCTCCAGTAGGGCCATAAAGGTGTGAGCACCCAGAAAAAAGGCAATCAGGTACAAAAAAAAGTAGAACACAGCTTTTTCACAGCTTTGCTAGCTCTTTAGAACTAATGAGCAAAGAGGAGGAAGGAAAAGGAAGAAAAAAGCTTTTCACAGTTCACACTCTAAATATGTCATGGCAATAGATCTGTTGAGTAAAAAAGCACCATTTTCAACAGGAGAGGTGCACATCCTGGAAGCCAATCATAGAATTCATCAAACATTTCTTACTCATCCCCAGGTACAGAATGCAAATATGCATTTCCTACATACTGTCTTGCTCTTCCATTTCATTAGTGATTTTCAGTGAAAATCTTTTTGAATACCTAATTAGGACTAGTCATGTGCCACGTACTACCAAGGTGGTTAGACTAAGTGACTGAAGCCCAATAAGTCAGTACATTGGTTAGTATTAAGTGACACATGTAACCATTAGCTGGGGTTAAGAAAAAACTTGGAAAGCAAACACTGCACATTCATGACCAATCCAACATGTTTGTTTCCTCCAAATGAGCAGACTCAATCTCCCGTTACCCCTTCCCTTTTGCCAGAAGTCCAGTGGTCCACTCCAGGTGCACAGTGAATCAGATCTGGGATCAGTAGAGCTGGAAATCAATATTTTATTTTGCTCACTTCTCTCTTGGAGCAGTCACCTGGTCCTGATCACCATGCAGCAACACAAAGAGAACTGATGACACAAGTCTCATGGGCCAAAGAGAGAAGCCAGGACTGCTCTGGGAGTGACAGCAGAGATTTATGCCCATAAAATTGATCATATCACTGTAATGATAGGCTAGTATGATACACAATATTTCAGCAGTTTTCTCCCAGTGAGTTAGGCAAATGGGATAGTGGGGTTTTCTTCCCTTTTTTCTTCTTTTTTTTCCCACCAGAAATAACATTTTAAAAAATCTTAATGGTTATTATGTCAGAGATTGATGCTTTTTATGTTGCTAGGATGCATAATAGACTTCTCGACTTAACTATATCCTCACTTATACTGGGATCCTATCTAATATCTTTGGTAATCAACATAAGCACTCTCTAGGCAGAACTTTTGGCAAATCAGCTGGTAATAAACAAGTGCACTGCAATGGTTTTCTCTAGATTTTAAAATAACTTAGTTATTCACTTCTAACACACAAAGCCTGGCAGAGCTGTGCAAAATACTATTTTGGGAAATACAGACATCTGGTAAACACTCACCTTGCTCTTAACTAGACAGTATTGAGAGAATCATGAATATTAGCCTGCCAATGGGTGGAAAAATCCATTACAAAAGTCTACAAGGTGTCTATTAACATGACTGATACCGATTTTCGAATTTTAGTGTTCAGAATATTTTCACAGCAATCAATTTGATTTGTGATCAACATTGCTATCAGTGTCCCTCCCACAGAAATAGGAGCAATTATGTAGAACTGACAGATCAGTGCTCTGATACACTATGCTAAGAACAGTATAGTTAAAAGACACTGTCTTTTATTATCAGTTTTATGCACATTAAAAAAGTAAACAAAACAAGACCACACAGCAACATCCAAAAGAAAGCAGAAGCAATGTCAGAGAAAGCTAACATTACTGAAAGCTGTACAAACATTAACCAAACATTAACATGTTCCTTTCAAGATGCTACTAACTAGGAATTATACCATATTTCCTTTATTAGACTGCTCCTAACAGACAGCTTTACACTAAGAAAGAAATTCACTTGATGCTGTTCTGGTTCCAGCTGCGACAGAGAAGAGGGGAAAACAGTTTGGGGTGGTGCAGAGCACAGTCACTCACCACTGCATAGTCTACGCAGTATGCCCATGGTAAATGTCTGTAAAAGATGGCACGTAATAAGGACAGACCAGGGCACCAGTCTGTACAAAGTCTGCCTCAGTGCCACACATGGAAATAACTTGAATGAGGAAAGCATATGTATAACTTCTACTGTGTTCAGAGTAACAGCCCTCTGTGCTTCTTTTTTTGTAAACAATGAGGTTACACCAAGCTGACATATCATTTCACCTTTGAAGGACAAAACACTCAAAATCCTATTTATGGGCTAACAACTCAAAACAAAATTCAGATTTCAACACCTTCCACACACTCAGGTACAACAGTTTTGCAAGGCATTGTAACAGAATTTAGAACTGAAATAAAGATTGTCCACCAATATATTTTTCTGCATTGACAACTGCACCATTCTGTCATCCCAAACAAAAATTAATTCTCATCTTACATGACTCTTACTTAAGTTTGGTATTTTGATTGTGCAGCTCCTCCTTCAGCTCCCAGTTTTCCTTATATGCCACCTGAGCTGTCAGCTCAGCCTGGTTTTTAGAAGTGGCGAGCACATACAGCTCTTCCTCCATCTCCTGGATTCGTGTTTGCAAAGACAGGAGGCGAGACTTCTGTCTAGCATTGTTTTCCTTATAGCTTTCAGCTTCAGCCTTCAGCTCTTGAAAAGAAGCTTCGTTAGAGATTATGCTGGACCTGAGTTCAAGAAGCTATGGACAGAAAAAGAGAAAATTAATGGAGAATAATTTGCCCATGCTCGAGGGAGGTGATTATCCTGCTCTACTCTGCACTAGTGCAACTTCACCTTGAATATTGTGTGCAGTTTGGGGCACCACAGTATAAGAAAGATATTAAGCTCTTAGAGACTGTCCAGAGGAGGGCAATAAGGCTGGTGAAGGGCCTTGAGGGGAAGCTGTATGACAAGCAGCTGAGGTCACTTGGTCTGTTCAGCCTGGAGGAGACTGAAGGGAGACCTCATTGCACTCTACAACTTCTTTGTGAGGGGAAGAGGAGGGGCAGGCACTGATCTCTTCTCTGTGGTGACCAGTGACAAGACCCAAGGGAATGGCCTGAAGCTGTGTCAGAGGAGGTTTAGGTTGGGTATGAGAAAAAGATTCTTCACCCAGAGAGTGGTTGGGCACTGGAACAGGCTCCCCAGGGAAGTGGTCACAGCACCAAGACTGACAGTGTTCAAGAAGCATTTGGATGATACTCCTGGGCACGTGGTGTGACTCTTGGGAATGGTCCTGTGCAGGGCCAGGAGTTGGATTCAACGATCTTTGTGGGTTCCTTCAAACTCAGCATATTCTGTGATTCTGTGAAATAACATGACTGTACTACAAGCTTAGTAATGTGACAAAAAACCACAATTTGGAACAGAAGATTCTCTTTTCTACCACTACAAGACTGAGTGGAGGGATACAACTTTACTTTCGTATAACTACGAAAAAGTAATAGAAGAGGTTTGTAAGAACAAAAGCTACTGTGGGGTAACACAACACAATTTTTCACAATAATATCTTACAGGAAGATAAGTTTATTTCATAATGCAAAATTTAGGAAAAGTTTACCTTAAGTTCTGCTGTACAACCTTGTCTTGCATGCATCTGCTTTACAATAAAATTATTAACACCACTATTCCCTCTTTTTTGCCTGCCACTTGCCTGCTTCCAATTCTGTTGCACAATTCCACAGAAAATTTAAAGCTGCAGGAAGCTGTAACAGCAAAGTACCCTGTTGTATGGGTACAGAGCCTCTTCATAATTTGTGAAATATTCAGAGGCAAGTAAATCTTTGGAATGTTGTGCGGTAGGCAACCTCTTCTCATCTTATGTAAATTGCTATTTTTTGGTCTGATAATCCAATTCAATGCAGTTTTTTTGGCTTTCCTCTCTCTTTTAGTTAAAAATACAATTTTCCATTGAACTATCTCTGCTACAAGCTTCTGGAGGAGACTGAGCTTGAGGTAGACACGCTAGGCAAATAAAATTTCCTTGCAATTTTGTTAAAAGGAATCACAAGAAGCATTAAGGTATGTTTCAGATCTCCTGACAATTCCAATTAAAAGCAGCAAGATGCAATCCAAAGCATTCCTCTCCTATTACATAAAATTAACAGGCAAATAATTAAGCCACATTAACTGCTCTTTATGAAGACTGGTAGGGCTTTTAACTTGTGGCAAACATTTTAAGGCAAAAATATTTAGGACATTAAACTGCAATTCAGGACAATGTAAAATTCGCTGCTCCGCCAGAGTTTTCCAGTGTGACCAAACCCAAGAATATTCAGAGAAATTCAAGAGGCTGGTGAGCCAACTGAACAGCAACTGCCTTGGAAAAGAGAGGTCCTGCTTCTCCTGCTTCCAGTCACACATGCCTGTCCTCTACCTTGCACCAGCTCTGCGTTTGTCTGACTCCTCCACAAACAACTTAAATAACAGCTGTCAGAAAAGAATTCACTTTTCCTCTCACAGGGGAGAAAGAGGAAGTGGAGCTGGCCACATCACAAAGGCTAACACTGAGAAATCAGGTAGGAGAATCACCCTTGCAGCAGCAGCACAACTTTCAATAAGCTTATGCTTCACATGCAAGTGTTGGTTTATCAGACACCTTGGAGCTGACATAAAGCAGTACTGACTTTAAGAAAAGCAGCTTGGCCTTTTCCCAGGTTCATGGGCTTCATTTCCATACTCCACCCTGTTCTTTGTGCTAGCAGAAGCACTAATATGGCTACGAGGTGAAATAAGATTGGGAAACTGATCTGGCTAAAACACAACTCGAAAGGAATGATTTTTTCAATTGCATCGACAAAACAGTGCACCATAAAAACTACACATACATCTGTGCCGGCACAAGGGGTGGGGCAGTGTGGGGAAGGAAATGAGCAGCTAAAGGAACAATAGAATTGCTTTGTTTGGCAGTTGGACCAAACTCTGGTATCTTAGAGTGTTCATAACCTTAAAATTTCTCTGTGGTTCAACTCCCCATATGATATTTTTTTCCTCTGTCCATTGTCTTTGTGGTCAGTTCCAATAGTAGAAAAAGCAAGAATAATCCCATATCATGAGTTTTACAGAGCACTCAGCAGAACAAGGCTCTGACCTCAGCTGGGTCATGAAGGTCTTTATTAACAAGAGCATGAACAGCTGCTTTCTTGACTATTCTTTTGCTTTTGCAAGCGCAGTCTTGAAAGAATCTATAAATCATTCAGTCGTTCTGGCAATAAAGTCATTCAACATTTCCAGTAATAAATTCTTCGTATGAGAACATGAGATTCTGTATGGCTTTTTAAAATTGAAATTTAAAGCACTGATCCTGGATGGATGTTAAATGTAGGGGAACTCTGCAGTCATTTCAGGATCAACTCATCAAATTAAAGCTCAGCCAATGGACACTTATTCCTGTAGTTCTGTCTGGATACTGTAAATAAATGTAAATAAACATAAGCATTTCATGTCTTCTAAAGGCAAATTTTACTCCATTTTAAAACCGACCACTGACCACACTGCTGACTTTGACTGATCAAATCAACTTTAGTCAGTCATACATTAAAAAAAAAAAAATATTTGTGGAAATATCCTGTAATAAAACCTCTCCTGAGAAGCACCGCCTAGACAGCAGGAAGAGCTGCAAAGTATGTGTATGTGTTCTTCAGCCTTTCTAGTTACAATCAACCTCATTAGTACAAACAAAATTTCACTGATGATGAAAGCAAAGCAAATTTGTGGAGCTGTGATTTGAATAAAGAGGAGAAATGGGTAAAGATGGGCAGCCATATTTTAACTCACCAGCAACAACAGGAGGACATCTATCAGAACTTTTACACAATCACAATTTAAAAATACTAACTTTCAGGTTTAAAATAAAAAATTGAATTTAAATTACAATGATAAAAAGCTAGACTGCTTCAAATCTTTCAAACAGAAACTCACAATTAGCTCTTGATCACAGAAGGAAGCAAAGTAAAAATGTTACAAAATGTTACAAAAAACCAAAAGTTTGTTGCAAAAGCAAGTTTTGGAATTTCTGTAAGCTTTCTATTCTCTGTATAAAGTATCCCCAAAGAATTTTCAGGTTTAGAGAAGGATTTGAAATGCTTTTAAATGTACCTCTGACTCGGCACAATCATACTTCACTGAAAGTGCTGCAAGTTCACTTTGAGCAGCTTCAGCTGCAGCTCGATAGTGATTCATCTGCTCTCTAGTGACAGGAATATCCAAAAGAACGTGATCATGAGATTCCTGTGAAGACAGTATGAAAACAAAACCATTGGAGATTGCATTTTTGAACATTTTTACTGCAGTGCTTTTTTGTTTGATAAAGCACATTTTTCCGAATACGCTATTCCCAGAGTAGCACGCCCTTACTGAAAAATAGGTTAAACAGTCACTTTTCTACCACTCACTACTTTAATCTGTAAGTTCAGCAACGAACATCAGTGCTAAAGTATAATAGCCTGTAAGATATTCCCCCTCAACAATCCCATGGCCTTCCACTGCTTTCAGCTCTGGCTATTTCCAGCAGTTTCTATGTATTTGGCAACATTCAAAAGGTCCCCCTTCGACAAACCTATCCAGTCGCTCTTTTAACTCACGTAAACTTTAACCCAACAGGAGTCCTCAGATGTATCTTATGCAAAGAACCACTTTGGTTTTTAGACTTCAGTTCCATTGCTTGTCCCCTCATTTTTATTTTGGAAGAACTGTTGAAAAAAAAGCAGTGGCTACCAATCTTCTCTGTGCCAGTCATGATTTTGCTGATTTCTATCATATCTCACCTCCACAGTCTCTCTACAGGTTGAAGAGTCCATGTCTACTCAGATACTTGTATCTGCCCCTCCAAGTCACTTTCTGGATTGCCATTTGTTCTTTTACTTCTAAGCTGTCAAGGCTAAAGGTCCTTTTAAACTTCATCACTAGGATACAACTTCAGCCTTCTGACTGATGTGTTCTCATCCCCAGCAATCACCATGATGACTTCCTTTCATTCTTTTTCAAGTCCTGATTCTATGGCAAGCACTGCCTCTGTGTTTCTAGCACAGTCTCCTTCACACCACTTGCACAACTCTTTCAGCTATGCCCTTTAGATTCTACAGTAGGCCTTCTCCTTTGTGCACTCCTCTGCTCTTCTAGAGTTGAGCAGGAATGCACTGGATTTCTTGACCTTTATTACTTAAGTCTTTCAAGAAGAAAATTCTGACCTGAGGTCTTGACATGAGTTTTATTAGATGAAACCTTTTTTTCAATTGATAGTAACTATAAAATGATGAAACGCAACCTCTTCAGAACACAACTAAGCTTAAGTTACGCTGGGAGCACACATGGCATAGGACTGAATGTGATATTTTTAATCCATCAGCTCTCACACAGGACTGCAATCCTCATGCATTTGGGTATGCATTTCAAAATGCAAATCTCCCCCAGCCAATGACTGCTGTTGGAACAAGGCATCCCAATAGAGACAGAGACAAGGTGTCTTCCTTTCATGCTTTTCTACATCAGCATCAGTTTCCAGGCTGAGATAAATTACAAGTGCAGCTCCTACCCATCCTAAACAGAAAAAAAAATTAACAGTGAGTAAAATAAATCTCTACCAAGAAACACACAGAGAAATCCCTGGAGAATAAGGCAAAACTACTAGTTAAGACTGCAACAGAAGATAAATCACCTTGGATTAGTTGCTATAATATTTGCCAACTCTTTGTTTTCATCTTTCTTCAATGCGCTAGTAGACGCTGGATTAGACCAATAAGTTTAATTGCATTCATCTCCCCCAGAGACACTCAGCTGTGCTCTTTCATGAAGGAGTTGCCACTTTCACCAAGCCAGTCAGATACATGGAGTAAGCTCATGGCCACATACAACACAATCTCAAGGATAAAAGGGCTGCTAATGTTCTCAACACTTTATCACCCTCCTGTAGGAGTGAGGAAAGGCATGTGCCACCTCCTTGGTACTTTGTCTTCCTTCTGCTCCACTCCACTTATTTCACACTGTACAACCACATGAAATTCTTTGATGTAGAGAGTGTTTTTTCATTCTGTAATACACTAGGGCTCCACAACCACAGATGGAGCTTGCAAACAGTAACGCTGTATGCCGTTTATGCATGTTATTATATTTATAGTACTGTATTAACGTAGATTTTCTTTTTCTTCCCTAAACAAACACAGCCACTTATGAGTTCACAGAAGGAAGGAATACATCTCAAAACTGATGAAATAAAAACATTTCAGAGCATTGATGAAGAAAGAAGCCCCCATTCAGCAGCAACAACCAATGTAACAGCTTTGAAGCTGCAACTTCCAAAATCTGAGTTTTTCATACAAATCTAGATTTTAAAATGATGAGCATTTTAAAGATTCAGATACACATCCAAAATGATTTAAAAAAGGAGGTTAAAATGAAGCCGGGTGCAAAAGTCAATGGGAATTACCATTTCACTAATCTACAGTGTTAGTGAGATTTACAGTGGCAGATCTCTGCATCCTGCAGTGCCTTAGCACATATGAAGCTAATCACACGTAGTAGCATCACACTAGGAAAGTTAGCATTACCATCACACTTTTGGCAGGAAATGTGCATGCTTTAGTATTAATACTTTTCTATGTTTCTATGCTTTGCCATCAGTCAGTCACAAGTCTGATCTTTAATAAGACCTATCAGACAACTCAATTAACTTGGTATGACTCTACTGTAGGGATAAAATTTGTAATGGGGATGCGGCATTTTTATATCTCTGGAAAAATTCAGATTTGTGATCTTTCATAAGTACTCTGTAGCCTATACTGATTACTGTTAATAAAACAGAATTAATAAAGTGTTAAAAGAATAAGAGGCAGTAGACAGGAGAAGCTTTAATACACTATCACTCAATCCACTCTAAATAATATAGGTTTTGGGTGGTTCTCCCATTCAAATTATTAACGTTTTTGATCCCTTTCCACTTACCTGCAAGAAAATGAAGTTTTCATTTAACATCAAATGCTAAACAGAAGCTAAACGTATATTTAAAATATGTAAGAACAGTATCTACTTGGACCTTTGGCTTTGTTAGCAATAAATGTTCTTTAGAAAATCAACAATATATGGTCATTGTTGTTATTGTTGCCCGTTTTTGTTTTGATTTTTTACCAAATAACTACCTTCACCTCCCTGGAAGCCAGCTTTTAGTTGGCAAACTCCATTTGATTAAGAAACAATGAAACTTCAACAACATTCAGTAGTTTTACACCTATCCGTGTACTTCAAAATCAGCCAACTTCTCAAGTCACTCACTCCCATTCTGCTTTTGGCAGCTTTTATTTCCTGAAGTGTTTCTTATTTCAGCCCTAGCAAATGCTGCTACCGCTGCCATTGCCCGCACACATTCTCTCTACCCCTTTGCCAAAGCATATATTTAAAAATGTCTTTAAAGAAACAGAAAGCCCCCCATAAGCCTTTAAGCACCACTGCTACCCTGAGTGACTTGTCAATGCACTGCCTCTTGCCCACAGCAGATGGACACTCCTCAGGGCAGGGATTTCTTCTTCCCATTCCCAAAGCATCTAATCACATTGGGGTTGACATACCAAAAATGATGACTTGTGAACCTTTGCTGAATCCATTCTTCCTTTGCTTCTACAGAACAAATGGGGGGGGAAGGGGAAGAAATGTTGAAAATTAAATAGATTTGCAATATGATGGCACATGACATTAGTTTTTAATAGGTCTGCTATACTAGACTTTTTCATAGGTTACCATCAGAAAAGTTGGGCATAAAAGCAGAACACCATGGGAAAGTTTCTCTAGTAGCTGTGTGCACTTTGATGGCCTCCACAATATTCAAACACACACTTAACTAAAACAGACACCTTCACTTTGACTTCTCAAGGTCACATTCACCAGTTCAGCTACACAGTCAGCCTTTGTGCAGTGATCGCTTCCTTTGCCACTGCTTTTCACGTGCTCCAAGTTTTATTTCATCTCTCCTTTTGTCCTGCATGTCTTCTACACTGACATATTTCAAAATTAAAAAAAAAACCTGAGCAATTACACATGATCTAACTTAACTGACTGGATGCAGTGCAATATTCAACAATTTCTATAATTCCCAGTGTCATAACCGTTCATATTCTGAAAACAAAGGAAATGACAAATCCCAAATCTGTAATATTTCTTCCCAAGACAAATAAATGCTCATGGGTGCATATGTGGATGAAAATTGTTCTAACTTCTGAAAACACAATTCAACAGTTGATTATTATTATTATTTGCCGCAACGAGTAAGAAGAAGACATCCAACATGAAGTACTGGGAAGAATGGGCAGTTGAAAAATTTCCACACAGAATTTATCTCCATAAGCAATCACAAAGAAATGTTAGTCCCCAAACTTGTTATTGGGTCTGTGGGAGGCTAAGGTGCTCTCCAGGACAAGAGGAACCAGGAGGAATTCATTCTGTATGGGCTGAACTGCTGAAAAAGGGATCTTGAATACTGTTTTGATACTCACTATTCTATTTACAGCTAGAAACTTAGTATTAAAAATTTGTTGCCATCCACAACCTAACTAGCTTAAATTTCTGAATAAATTGATCTAAAAAGAAAATTCTACTTCAGCGTGCAGCAAATACATAATTTTTTTTTTAAATAATCTATCCTACTATAAAAACAAGTTTTAGAATACATTTCTTTTCCTTAAATTTACAGGATAAAAAGCAAATTTTATTTTAATAAGTAACATGAAAATTAGGCACTGGACAATTTTTAGAGATTAATTTCTGAGTGAAATGCAGGGAAGGCAGGCAGCATTTGGCTACAGCAGATTTGTTTTGGTAGCAGCAGCTAGCCATCCATCCAGCATACACATTGCTTCAGAAAAGCCACAGCAGCTACACACACAAATGAGCATGAGAGGGGTAAGACACTATTACACAGTGACTCAGATTTTGTTAACACATGCGAAAACATATTACAATTAACTGGAGTTACTTCAAGGGAGAAAAAAGTTCACAAATTAAATATCTTGTATGTATATTTTGGGTAATGTTGACTTCTTTATAGATAATATTTTGCCTAATTTGCCTGTCAGGAATCTCAAAATGTTTGTGCTGATAATGACTTATTAACATAAATCAAAATTTGCAAATAATATTTCACAACTATTTCCATTCTGTCAGTTGCTCTTGCACATCTTAAAATGCCAGAAATAACCAATTACTTTCGATCACTTCCTGCTCAGTAAAGTCTTATTTCCCCTTGCCGATTTCTCCTTGTAACTACACCCAATTCACTGCTTGCATTTTGTGTAATTCTGAAAAGTTCTTTTCTTGTTATTGTTATATGTCTGTGAAGTTTTTCTGCATTAGTGTACTGTTCCAGAAGCATGTAAAACTAAATGTTCCCAGCAGTTCAGATAAATTACCAAAGAGATTTTCTAAATTCCTTTCAGAAGGCTACTGCTGAAGTCTACTCTCCTCCCTTTGCAGTAATCATTGAAAGGTATTACTGAAGATAAAAATCACCCTCTGGTGTTCCTCTACTTAAGAGGCCAATTTCAAGCTTGATTAACGGGCCCAAATGAAAGTTTCATCACAATAAAGATTTTAGACTTACCCACTACTACTACAAGCAGCAGTTAAAGCATTTTCATCTCACATTTTTCTCTCTGTTAAGATGAGATGACTTTCCGTTTATATGTAATAAATGCATTTAAAATTATGAAAGACAGCACTCATCTCAAAGCAATTACAGAGACACATCACCTACTCTAAACATTGCTTAACATGTTTTCTGAGTTACTTCATCTTTTGTCTGCATGAATAAATTAAGTAATATGGCACTCCCCTGACACTTTCACTCACAGCTTTTCCAAAATTATTAACAAAAAGCTGCTGTGTTTATTTCCAAAACAATAAAAAGGGTAATTGCTAAGATAAAATTAAGTACTTATGCAGGGATTTGTGCAAACAACTTGTTCTACTGCTTTTGCTTTATCAGTGTTGAATGGAGTTAAATAACTTCTGTAACAGAATAATTTATACGCAAGATTTAAAAAACAGACCCTCTTGCAATGCCAACACTTGCAATTTTCCTACAATGCCTATTATACAGCAATCAAGAAAACACAAATATTTTAGAAATATTTAAGTGTGCTGGTATATACACAATTAAAGTCCTATTAGTGCTGTAGTTTGATTTACCAGTTGTAACCTACGTTTTATAAATACATAGTTTCTAAGGTGCTTCTGAGTCCCAAAAGCAACATTCACAAACTATTTGACTTCAGATAGGTAGAACAGTAACAGTAAGCAGTGCTAACAAAAACTTTGTAATTGGGTCATAACAGTTGTATTTAGTATAATGGCAGTTGTTTGCCACCACAAACTACCAGAATTCTGTATTTTTTTGTCTCAGAGCAACATAGCTTCACTACAAAAGTGATGTTCAACTGTTAAGGAGGTACCAAGCTGTTCACACAAAAATAATTTTTTTTATCTTTTGCAATACAAAGCTGTTACAAGTTTTCTACTATATCTTTAGTAAAAAAGAGTTTGATCCTTCTAAGCAATATTCTCTCCCTTAAATTCACATCAAAGCCAGCAAACCAGTTTCAAAGGAAGAAGAGATGCAAAGAAGAAATTCTTAGATAACCACTATAAATTCCTACTCCGTGAAAGCTACTCCCTTCTGCAACACTTAGTAAGAAAAATCTTTTTGGCCTTGAGTGTATAAAGATAAGCTGTAATGATCAGGTGAAGTTCATTGAGCTTCAACTGCACCACACGTGGATCACTGGGTACAGCTCTGAACCTGCAGAAGTTGTGTTTTGGGGGTTTGGTTTTTTGAGGCAGAAGTGGTTGGGTTGTTTGGGGTTCTTTTTGGGGGGGGCAGGTAGAAGGGGGGGTGTTTGAAAGGCAAAATTCAATTGAAAATTGAAAAAATTACTTGCAAAGGGGGGTTACAACGAGCCTCAGGGTCAGTCAGCCTCCACAGCAACACCGACAGATGCTACTGAAGAGTGAGGGGAGAACGGGGCATTTTTCCAAAACCAGGGCTTTATTTTCTAACAGGGGAATAAACAAACAAACAAACAAACCCAACAGCAACAAAAAAAAAAAAACTCCCTCCAAAAAAAAAAAAAAAAAAAACAAACCCTAACCACGCCAAGACCCTCTGCCCTTTCTGCCTTGCCCTCTGCCCCTCTGTTACCGCGGTACCTGCGCTGCTGCCCGGCCCAGCCCGCCGAGCCTCCCCTGCCGGCCCTCATGGCCGCTCGCGGCCGCCGCCATCCCCCTGGCAACGCGTCCCGGGAAAGGACGGAGGGGGCACCGCGGTGGGGCCCGCGGCGAGGGAAGGGGGGAGAGTCCTCGGTGCGTGAAGGTGAAGAGACTTTACGAACAGATGCTCACAGAAACGTGGGGCTTTTTGTTGTTTGGTTTTGCTGGTTTTTTTCACTTCAAATAAACATTACCTGAGGAAATTGGCTCAAATTTTTCCTCAAAAAAGTCAAAAGAGGCGATCAGAGCAGACGACACTTGAGCAGCAGCTGCTGTTCCTCGGGCAGGCTTTCCTCCTCCCCTCAGAACCTGGAAACGAGCACCTCCGCAGCCCGGGGACAGCAGCCTTCCTTGATGAACGCTAAAGTACCTGCAGCTGAAAGAGCACCTCCTCCTCTTCCTCCTCACCTTTCACCCAAATAAAGTGGATAAACATGGGAGGAGAGAAACTGAAGATAGCAGTAAAAGAAAATTAAACCTGCGGGTGCATCGAGGCTGCACATAATTTTCTCTGAAGACCCTGTGAGCTGTTTAATCAGCTCATCCCCATGCCTCTGGGCACAGTGCGATCTTGCACCATTTCTGTACTCACAAGTCAAAAACTGCCTCACCTTTCCTAGGAATGCTGACTTAATCATGTTTTCCAGAAAACAAAATGGAAAAGCTAGGGATAGTACTCTTTTTTTTTTTTTTTTTTGTCCTCGTCTCTGTGTGGCTGAAGCCTTTTCACTGCTGCTGCCAAGGACAGAGAAGACCCCTACCCAAGCAGAGGGGTGCTAGCATGGGTCATCACCCTATTTAAATGGCTGCACTGCTTAAATCGCAGAGGTATACAATGCCATCCCTCAGCTGGAATCTGCCACTAAACTCATAAAGGACGGGAGAAAAATAACTTAATGTGAGGAAGGAGTACTGGGAACAGGTCAAGGGAAATGGAGACCCACATGGGGCTGAGGCTGTGCAGCACAGGCAGCAGCAGCGGCCTCCATCTTCCTAAGTGTTAGGGGAAAGACACAATTGCTTTGGGGTGGTGACACAATTGCAATTGGGGTGGTGACAGCTCCTTTGGTGGCATGTTTCCAGTTCATCCTCAGGGGTGAAGGGTGAGCTAACAGCCACACAGGATGGCATAGGGGCACGAAAATGTTTCACGAACCCTGTTGTTCTTACTGTACACAAATGCTGGTGCTGTAGCAGAGGAGTGAAACCCGGTAAGGCACTTCTGAATCAAGATTATCCAGTGCTGACAGAGCAGATGGGGGTGCAGAGAAGCAGCAAAGCTGCTACCACCACATGGTGCAAAATGTTGCTCCAGGGTAACCTCATTCTGCATCTATTAAGTATTTTTAACTGGTTAAATTTGTGCTTGTGGTCTTACATAAACCCAGCATAAATCTGGCACAAGTTTTACTATCCACTGCAAATTTGAATAAAAATATCATCCCAGATTTGCCCAGCATTTGACTACAGCCTAAACTGTCCTATTACTGGAGCAGCATGCAGATGCAGAATTAAATGATTGTGAAACTTTTTCCTAACTTGCCTAAGCATGTGCTTGAGCACACTTCCCCATCACTAGTCCTGCAGTGCCACGGCTGGTTCAAGAGCTATACTTCAGCCACTTATACAGCTGTATCTTACCATAGATCTATGAAGTTATTTGGCTTTAAAAAAGCATGCTGAATCTGATGAACTGCAGCAAGAGTAACAATAAGAGGCAAGAAAAAAAATTACGTAGAAATTTCATGTAACACTCCAAAAAAGAATGGGGCAGTTTGAGGCCCCATTTGACTAAGAAAAAAGTATCTTATTACACAATGCTCACACTTAAAAGTGCTTTACCCTTGTGCTAATATTTACAAGTAGAGTTCTCAAAAGGACTCCATATTTCTTTTCCCTTAACGGGGACAGGAAATAATGACTTAGGAAGGGTTACTTCAGAATTTTTAATTATAAATAATTTCAAGGAGTCATTTTCATTAATCAAATTCATGTTTTGTTATAGAAACTACATGGACAGGATGTTCTCAGCTTTTCTGAGCAAAGTATGATGCAAAATCTCTTGAATATATGTACGCCACTCCAATTTTTGAAACAGAAAATAACAATTAAAAAATTACTCTAAACCTTCCCTTCCCTGAAAATGCTCAGTACTGAGAAAAGATGCTAAAACTGACCTGGGATAATGAAACCCCAAACCCAGTACTCCGTACACTCAAAAATATACCAGTTGAGATTCTGTAGGTATTGAAATATCTGCTCCTAACTGAATTTTCTGTATGTAAATGAGAATGGATATATAAGAAAAATTTCAAAGCTAAAAGCCATGTGATGATGTGGATAGCTTGCCCCTCACTCAATGAAAGAGACATCCTTTGCATCTTGTAGGATATAGATGGATGGAGAGGAAGTGTCTGAAGTACCCCAATGGTACCAAATTTCTGGTCACTTGAACCAGAGATTCCCTTAGCATGCGACACAAATTAGCAGAAGTCGCCTTTCAAAGTGCTTAGTATGCCAAAGGCTAAAATGATGTTCATTAATTCTACTGCTCACAAATCTTGTAATTTAAATTTATTTTAATAAGTGATTAAAAGACTGAATCAAAATATTTAATATTAGTTTTTAACTCAAAATGTCCTTTTTTTACTAACACTATAAAAAAAATTTATTAACCTCAAAGCATCAGCACCATCTTGAGAAGGTGAAGTATTTGTATTTTCTCATGTATACGAATTCCAAATGATTTCCTGAACACATATATACTCATTACCTAAAAGCAGCTATGGCTGACGTCAAAAGAATTGTACACTAGCAACATTAAAATAGAAAGAGGTTCAAGGGAAATTAATCCACAGGACTTAAATCATCTCCTAATTCAGCTAGAATAGTTAGAACGGCCACATTTTAACAAATATTTGGCATAAAACTCATGGGCATTACTTTCCAAGGTACTAATTTGCTCCTTTTCCAGAAGGTATCCACTCCAAAAGCAGAGTATGTCCCACCAAGCTGTGCTCCTCCTCTACTCCCTCAAATCACTAGTATCATCCTGTAGTGGAGAAAGCTTTCTTGAGGGGTTTCTTATCCTCAGCTTACCTACTTCAAGGTTTAAGATGTGTAAATTGAGTGTAGGTAAATTGTGTCTGATAACAGTTACTATTGTAAATCTGATAGTGGACTATCTTAAGAAGGATTAACTAGTTTGATTAAGTTCATCTGTTCTTCTGCCTAACCAAAATAAGAGTCCTTTTTTCCCCAAAAATCTTTTAAGTTTAACTCCCTGATATGCACTGCGCAACTAGCTCCTGCTAGCGCTTTCCATCAGGACCCAGCAAAATAGCAGCAAAACCTCCTAGGGCCAGGGATGCAGTCAAAGCTGCATATCCAACAAAATGCCAAAGGCATTCAAGTGTAGCTCTAATCAGGATCGCTTGAAAACAAGAATACAGCCAACTATGGAAAAACGAGGATGTTCTTTGGTCACATAGAACCCTTGCTGCAGGTGGTAGGCCCTTCTCTCTCTTCAGGAATTTACCTGTCTCCTAATTCCCTAACCTTAGGCCACAGGTACACATAATCCCTGGGCTGAAATAGAATTGTAATGCAAATAACACAAGAGTCACTGGACAGAAGGAAAAGTAGGTGAAGAGTCCCTTCAGCTAGCTTGAGGGAACGCTCCTGGACTCTAGCCCTTTTTCCAGAATTGTTCTGCATTTTACACAGATCCTAGACCAAAATTAACAATTATGTATGCATATAACCTATCTAGGATCAGAACACAGTGCATTTCCTGACCTATAACAGTTAAGATATCTTCTTGGGAAGTGGGAGTTAAGAGCTGAAACCTATTCCAGGCCACAAATGGTTGTTAAAAGCTGATTCTGTTTCCTGAACAGCCTTTCTGTACACACCACCACTGAAGGAAAGCATGGATTTACCAGTTTGCAGGTCCTTCTCTGCTGCATTAATATACACAAGCATTGTGAAGATTAAGCCTTGCTGAACTTCAAGGACACTGTGACTACCTCCTGAACAGTGTTCTGTATGTTAGCAGGTAAGAGGGGAGAAAGCCCTTCTCTGCAGGTGCCTGAGCTGCAGGGGTGCTTGTCAGGAGATGCCCCTGTGCCCCGTGCCAGCATTACACAGCACCTCACTGAACACACAGTGCTTCTGTACAGCCCCTGCCCCAACAGGAGGCCTGGCTACTTCTGCCTCTTTGCCTCCACCCATTAGTCCGGCTCTCAGACTCTGTGTCTCCACATTCGGTAACAACCAAGTCCTCCTTTAAAATTAATCACTGAGTGAAATACCACAGCTGCAGGAAAAACTCCCTGTGATCCGCATGTGGGAAGATGCAACTAACGGTATCGTCAGGCCTCTCATCAGTTAGAGTCACCTGGAAAGCATTGGCCTTACCATGATAGTATAAGACTAATCAATTAGTTAACATTAAGAAAGCAAAAAAAAAAAAATTTACCCTGATACATCTTACCTCAGCTTTTAATCTTTTACTTCATGAGACTTGGAAGAAGTAAGTGGAATCCCAGGAAAAATTAGTTTCTATGAGGATGAAAATTTGGCTTCACAGGAAATCTGAATGATGTAGCTACTAGATGATGTAGCTTACTGAAAAGTGGTACAACAAAAGAAGAACACAAGTACTGAATAAGTTTATTCATTGCAAATTACCATAATATGGCATTTTATATTTCTTTCCCAGTCACAACCAAGGCAGATGAGCCAAATGTCAAAAAGCACTGTAAATAAAAACCTTTCTCACAATATGTCTGCAGAATTCACAACAGCAAAGCTGAGGCAGAATGTGGATTAAATAATCTATAAATTAATTATTAATTCATATAAAAATGTGGTTAAGTGGCCTTTTTTATTTCTAGGTCTGTTAGAAATAGAAACATATCAGCAAGAATAAAAATGTACCTTTTTTAGGAAAAAAACTTCAGAACCAAATAAGAAAACATAAACAGTCCATGGTATAGGAAATTTTTTTCCTCACATGTGTTCCACCCCGGCACATAAGAAAGAAAGAAAAGGACCATTTTAACCAGCACATTTTCACAGTTTTATTTTAAGATCCATAGGTGTTAGCTGATTTTGGACTTATGTTTGAATAAAAACAATCACAGGGTTTTTTCTGTAATTTTGGGTAAACAGAAGGCTGGTAAGCAAACAAACTGTTAAGTGAAAAAACTCCTAACAGTTCTGTACAGGATTCCATTTTGAAATTTGTATTTTATACATGATTAAGGTAGGGTTTTTTTAGATTAAAATCATTTCATGTGGTAATTTTCATGCAACAGGGTGAACATTCTTCCTGTCAGTCTGATAGAGCACTGGAGATAAATGTGCCTCACATGGAACAAGTTGTTTAGTTCAATCACAAATGCAAATACGCTATGAACTTTAAAGAAACTATTTCAACACCAACAGTTAGGGTTTATGGGACATCAGCAAGGTGTGTAAACCAAAGTGGTTTGGAAATGTTTTAGTTACAGCAAGTGTAACACTAAAGTATTTCCATTTTTGCTGAGAACGCATGGCCCACCTATCAATTCTGGAAGTGATCCTGACAATGATGCCATCACCTGCATCAAC